ACCCTACCCACTCTCATGGCCTTCCGTAAAGCTCTCAAAACCTGGCTTTTCCGGCAGGCCTGGGGCTGTCGACCTCTTGATTGACGTCCAGCCCCGCTTTGACTGGGTGCATGTTGTGTTTCTTTTATTTGTTGTGTCTTATTTGTTTTAATCCTTTTTAATATTTCTTATTTCTGTAAGCCGCCCGGAGTCCTCCGGGATTGGGCGGCCTATAAATTCAATAAATGGAAATGGAAATGGAAATAGATGCCTTACCGCAAAAACTGTAGATATAATAGAAAGTCCACATAATAATTTCATATTTTCTTTTTCAGTTTCTAATTCTATGATGGGCCCGCTGCTGTTATTGTAATAAAGCCACCACATAACACCTGAGACAACTAGAACAAACACAGAAATACAGCAATGTTTATTTAATTTAAGAAAAAAAAAGAGCAGCACTGGCATATTAAGCTTATCATCAAGCATTTACTCGGCATGATTCAATTGCAGTCCCAAAGAGAGAAGAAAATTAGGTTGATACAAAAAAAGATAATGCAAACTAAAATTCTACTCTAGTTTGCATTTTTGTGAGATAATAACGTTGACGCATACTCCAGTTACCTGCTGAGGATGTTTGATTATAACTAGGTTCGTATGAAGGCACATGGGTTTGCATCTCCTTAGAGAAGAGGTGTCAAACTCGTGGCCTGCGGTCCAGATGTGTCACATGCTGGCCACGCCCATGTCCAGTTTAGCAAAGGGGGGGGGGAAGTTGTGATATGTCATGTGACAACACCGTGATGTGAGTTTGACACTCCTGCCTTAAACAATCTTCAGCTAAGGAATTTCTGCCATTGAACTTTCGAAGAAGATGCATTTCTGCCATGGCTCCTGCTCTCTGGAACATCTTGCCCCGTGAAATCAGATCTGCTCCTCCCCTTTTGGCCTTGAACACCTGGTTGTGCCAGCTAGCCTGGAGCCCCAATTAGGGCGTGGCATTTTGGAGGTGACTAATAGAGTAGATAACATCCACTCTTCCCTGTGCACACTTTGTTCCCTCTTTCTCCACCCTGCTTAATTTTAATTTAATTTACATTTTAAATTTTAAGCTCTTGATGTATTGATTTAATATTTTATATTGCATTTTAATCAATGACTGTAAGCTACCCAGAATCACCTTTGATGAAATGGGTGGCATGCAAGTTTAATAATAAATAATGGCAGTTACAGATCATTCTTGAGTGGTAGAAAGATTGTCGGAAAGATGGAAGGAAGAACGACTAACTGGTTAAAATGAAAATCAAAAACAACTTTTTGAGAGGAAACTTTAGGCAGAAAATCACGTCCTCTCTTTAAACTGTGTGGAACTGAATGTTCACATAAGAAAAACTTGCAAAACTGATGTGAGTTTCAATAAAATGATTTTCCTGTTTCCTACAGTTCTTACTGTAATATAAGGTAGTTAGGTAAGATTTCAGGTTGTTGGTAATGTATCATGTTTTTTGGATGCTGAAAAAGCTGATCTATTACACCACAATTTATCAATAAGGGAGAGGTTCAATTTCTGCCCCCCCAATCCCATTTTATTTCATAGAACAGGGCAATCTATCACCAGTGATAGTCCAAGACTTTATCTTATCCTGCATTCTAAGAGACAGAACAGTCAATTGTCTTGAATGATGGAGCAGAGGGTTGGACTAGAAGACCTCCAAGGTCTTTAGTTAGTTTTTTATTTTTTGTAAAATGGAATGGAACAAAATAAATATATAAATAAAAAAGTGAAATAAATAGCTTGGTTTTTGGAACTTTGTAACTAGGTGTCAGAAGAATCAGATCTATTTTTTTCATTGAATGACTTTATTTATTAGTGGTTTTTGAATGAAATATAGAAAGAACTATGAATGTTCAAGTATTTTCTTCTGCAAGTAGCTCTTTACATAACATAATTTCTGATTACGTATATTTCGAAGTATGAGACGCACCGGAGTATAAGACGCCCTAAGATTTTGAAGAGGCAAATTAAAAAAAAAAGTTTTTGCATTCTGCAGACTTCCTAAAAACATCCCATTTTTTGCGAAAATGGGCCCATTTTTTGTCAAAAAAGGGACATGCATAGCCTTTAGGAGGCTTGTAGAGTACTCCTGGGGGCTGGGGGGGGGAAATGAGCAAATAATGGTCCATTTTTCACAAAGATGGGCCCGCTTTTTGTAAAAAAAAAGGGGGGGCATGCATAGTGTTTAAGAGGCTTACAGTGTGTTCCTGGGG